CTTAATTTTTGAGTATTTTAAGTAGCCATCTATGGATCATGGCTTCTGAATTGGGCAGCTTTGTATGAGGCATTACGTGAGTGCTAAAAAAAAAATGAGCTGAGGTAAACGAGAAGATGAAGATCGCTCACTTCAGGTGGATGTGGACAGGGATGGCTTCCAGGAAGAGGTGTGATTATAGGTGGGTTCTAGGAATATGTAGGATTCTGATAGCAGAATGAGTGGAAGGCGGTACTAGCTTCTGGGAATTTTCAGAGCACTGCTGGGGGTACTGGAGAGTAAAAATGGAACAGAGTAGAGTCCTCTTCTGGTTTCATCTCATCTCTTGTGTTAAAAAGATGGTTGGGTTTGATGAGGCAATTCTCTCTTTTTGCTGCCCTCAGACACTTCTTTTCCAGGGGACTCAGCAAATAAACTTAAGGGCAATGGGAAGAGCGCTAGAATGGGAGTTGGCACTGATGGGTTCTACTCCTCCTGTGTCATTAACATTTCTCTACACTAATAATGAAATATCAGAAAGAGAAAGTAAAAAAAAAATTCCATTTATAACCACATCGAAACAAAACAAAAACAAACCTGGGAATAAATGACCAAGGAGGTGAAAGACTCTGAAAACTAAAAACACTGATGAAGGAAACTGAAGATGATTCAAAGAAATGGAAAGATATCCTGTGCTCTTGGATTGGAAGACTTGTGGTTATCAAAAGGGAAAGGGGAGGAGGGGAGGAGAAAATTAGGGTTGTGGGATTAACAGATACAAACATATCTATGTATAAAATAGGTAAGCAACAGAATATACTGTGCAGCACAGGGAGCTATACCCATTATCTTGTAATAACCTATAATGGAATATAATCTGCAAAAATACTGAATTGGTATGTTTTACACCTGAAACTAAGACAATATTATAAATCAGCTAGGGGGTGCTTATAGCTCAGTGGTAAAATAAAGCGCATGCTTAGCATGCAGGAGGTCCTGGGTTCAGTCCCCAGTATCTCCATTAAGAAAAAAGATAACAACAACACAATTTGAGAGGCAAAAGCAGAGTAAAGGTAGCTACCTGCCCCCAGGAAGTCACAGCCTGTTAGAAGTCACAGAAGATAAAACTATTTAATAAACAAACAAACAATTAAAAAAAAGTTTGTCTTCCGGACAAGTGCCAATTAACAAAGCCAGATGGTCTAGTCACACGAACCAACCCCCTTCACACCCCTCAAGTCCTTTTCCTTAGCACAGTTCAGCTTTCAAAAAGCCTCTCTTTTGTTTCAGCAACTGTTGAGTTCAGCTCCCACTGGGCCCTCTTTAGTTATTACTGAATGAAGTCTATCCTACCACTTTAACTAGTGTCTGGTTTGGTCTATCTCTGGCAGTATTCTGTTTTTTGTGCTGATTCAGGAAGAGGACAATTTCTGGTAGTTTCAGTCCTGCCACAGCAACACAGCTTTAGCTCTGACTTCGAACCACATAGCACTGCCTGTCTTCCTCCTCCCCTTCCCCTCTTCTCTGACTTGGATGGGGCCTTGTTCCTAGGCTGGCAGGTAAACTGGGTATTTCTGGGGCACTTTTAGCCCCTCCCTTCCCTTCACACCTTCAGATTCTCTCTCTCCCTCTCTGGAACCGCCCCTCCTCTCCATTCTAGGTGCAACTCCCCTAGGTCAGAACACATCATTTCTTGCCTAAATGAATCTAATTACCTTTTAACTAATCTCCCTACTTCCAGTCTCCTCAGAACTCCAAAGTGCTCCTTTTAGCATACTGAGCTGATCACCTCACTTTCCTTGGAAACTTCCGCGGCTCCCTACTGCCTAGGGAATAAAGTTGAATCTCCTTAGCAGGTATGTGGAGCGCCACATTATCTCACCTTAACCTAAATGTCTCCCACCTCATTTCCCGTGGAACCTGTGATCACCATTCCTTAAACACATGTGTATCTGCGCATTTCTAGGGTTGTGCTTACATTCTTCTGTCATTCTGGGACAAATGGCTCCCTCGCCCACATTTCTGCCAATGATCAAAATTTTATTCTTTTTTCAAGGCCTAATTCAAATACATTCTCCTTCGTGGAAGCATTCCCAGCAGTTTGAGTTGGAATTCCCTCGTCTGTACTTCCACCTCATATCACTTTTTGAAGGTCAGGTTCATAACTGAGGTATAACTTATATACTGTTAAATTAGCCTTTAGGTATATAGTTCTATGAGTTTTGACAAGCATATACAGTTGAGTAACTAACCATCACAGTGAAGAAATAGAGTATTTCCATCAAACCCGAAAGTTCCTTTGCAGACAATGCCCTCCTTCCATTCCTAGTTCCTGGCAATAACTGATCTGATTTCTGTCCCTATATATCTCATTTAAATTTATTTTTTTCATTTTCCCTCTAGACTTTGTTTGCGTACACATCTTTCTCTCACTGGGTTGTTACTTTGCAGACAGAGAGTTGTAATCATTCACTTTTCTATTCCTTATGGCTCCAAGCACAAGTCCCAAACACATTTATTACATGCCAGCTCATAAATACTTAGTAAAAGAAAAAGAGAAGAAGGAAAAAGAAGGAAGGAAGGGAGGAAGGAAAGAAAAGAATGAGCCAAAGAACAAATGGACAAAGGGCCCTAGGAGAGTTCTGATTCGACAATAGGGAAACCAACAGGGCTCATCTTAGTTGAATGAGTTATTCTGAGTTATTCATCTGAACTATAAAAGTAGCTACTCTTAAACACCTAATACAAAATATATTAAAGTATGAATCAGCAAAACTGATTTTTTGTAAGGAAATCTTAATGTAAGTGACATGTAAAGTGTATTGGGGGGTGGGAAACAAGCACCCACCAATCCCAAGTTAAGTTGCTTCTGATCTCCTGGCATATTACAACACCACAACTATGATATGAGGCATTCTGTCCTTGGTATACAGCAGGGACACTTAAAACTCAGGGAGAAAGGTAATTACTATTTACCAAGTGCTTCCAAAGTCATTATACTCTATGTTTCATGTTTTATTTAATTCTCACAACTACTGTATCACTTAGGTGAAAAATTATTAGTTATTCGTTAGGAAAGGAAATAAATAATTATAGGAAGTATAGAGGTATACCTCTAACGGGAGAAACAGGTTTAAAATCTTTAACTCAGGATGAATTCTTCAGAGATTTTTCCTAGTTTTTCTTCTGTGAAATCATAATAAGCAGGAAGGGAACAAGAGTCCAGGTAATAAACACTTTTAGATGTCCATCATTGATCCATTCAGGGTAATTCTGATATGATAGCTATGTTCATTTCTGAAGCCAACACGATGAGAAGGAATTCTAGTGTACTGTTTGATGAGGTTGTCAACTAAGGCACATGCAGGAGTTTGTGCTTTAAGTGCTGTAGTCAGTAAAGGGTACATATTTTGGTGTCACAGAAATTTAAAGTGATTTTGCAATCAGTCTTTGGAGATAATTTTCCTGTTTCTTAGAACAAGTTGGAAGATAAACTTTGGACAATGTATTAAACTATGCCCTTTGTAATTAAGGAACCCAAGATAATGTGTTAAAGTTTAGCGGAGATTTAAATTCCTGAGCTGATTAAAGAGAGCTGTTAAGACCATAAGGTTTGGAATAAAAAAATTCTATTGTTGATATTATTCCTGGAGTTTCCAGGCATCATATAGTGATGATTTGCACTATCGCTTATTATTTTTCAATCTTGTAGAATGGCTCAGAATTAAATAACAACTGAAAATAAGTACAATTCAACCTGAAAGACTGGAACCAGGGCAAGATGATCAGGAATTTTTGTCTGGCTCCGGGCTATGTCCCGTTCATGCAATGTGGAGGCACTGAAAGGTGTAGGGGTAGTAGATGGAAATGTTGTTTCAGGAAGATGTCTAGCTGTTGATGCAAATTGTCTAGGGCAAAGAAGAGACAGAAGCAGATTAGATCCCTTAGAGGCTGCGGCAATATCCAGGCTGAGGCGATCAGAGCAGGGCTGGAAAAGTAATGGTAAGAAAGCAAAAAAGAAAATGGCAGTGCCTGCGGCCAACACTGGACGATGACCAGACCCAGTGGTGTTGGGTGAGTGAGGAAGAGAACTGAAAGAACGGTTTCATGTTTTCCAGAGACACAAAGTTTTCCGCAGAGGCCCCATGACTATTCTTCCATCCTTCGAGCGGACGTCCTGGGAATGAACCGGGAAGCTCGCCTCAAGTTGGTCAGGCCAGCAAAAGGCGCACAGGAGGCAGGACCGGCCAGGAGTGTCCTCCAGCACCCTCGTCCCTCCGCCTTGACACTCAGGCGGTCCCTCCGGATCCGACCTCTCTCTTCATCCCTCCGGGTCCCCAGGTCCCCATCCCCCGCTTCAGCCAGCGGCCGGCACCGCCCTCTGTCCCTCCCCTCCCCCTCCCCCTTGGGGCGCTGACTCGCCGGGCTGCCACGTCTCACTGATGACATCACCAGGGAGCTCGGTCTTAGCCAATCCGCTAGGGGGAGTCCGAGCGAAGTCCTAGCCAACGAGTCAGCGGGGTGGGGAGCGGGGAGGGGCGGAGCGGGGGGGGTGGTGAGAGAGGGGGGAATGGGTCGGGCGACAATCCCTCAAGTACGCATGGGCCAGAGGCGCGGTGTTTGGCGGGAAGCTGAGTCCTGGCCGCCGCGTTGCATCGTCTGTCTCCAGCGCCCGCAGCCGCTTTCGCAACTCTCTTTCCCAGCATGCCAAGCGGTGCGGCCGCCCTTTGGGCTGTGTAAAGGCCCCTCGATCTAAGGCTTTCCTATTTCCTGGTTCGCCGGCGGCCATTTTGGGTGGAAGCGAAAGCTGAGTGGCGGCGGCTGCTGATTGTGTTCTAAGGGGACGGAGTCGGGGAAGACGTTTGCTCTCCCGGAACAGCCTATCTCATTCCTCTCCTTCGACTATCCGTGGCGCGGAGAGTCAGGGCGGCGGCTGCAGCAGCAAGTGCGGCGGTGGCGGCGGCGGCGGCGGCAGCTGCAGTGACATGTCCAGCATGAATCCCGAATAGTGAGTGCAGGAGAGCACCGGTCGGCTGGGTCCGTGGGCCAGCTTGGGAAAGCTTGGAGGGGGCGAGGAAGGCTGGGGCGTGGGTGGGGGCCTCGGCCGGGGTGAGGTGAGGGTGATGGGGAGGGAGAGGTTGGCGGCCGGGTGTCGGGCCCCATTGTCTGACGGAGGAGGGGCGGTCGGGGGGAGGGGTTGGGCCAAGGGGTGAGCCTCCTGGGCCTGGACCCGGTCTGGTTGGAGGGCCTAAGTGCTGGACCGGTGCGGAGGAACAGTCCACTAAGGGGGTTGGGGCGTTTGGGAGTCGGTGGTGGGGCGGTGGGAAGGGGTAGCTTCTCTTGGAGGCTGCGACTTTTGAAGGAGGACTTGTTTTTAAGGGGAAGGGATGAGGTGGGAGAACTCTCCTAGAGGGCACTGTCAGACCCTGGGCCCGCACCCTGCGGAGCTGTCAGAACTGTCGGGGTGGAAACCAGCTTTAGTTGTAAATCTTGAGCTTGTTGGCTCTCTCTTCCACCCTCCCCGCCAGGTTGCAGGTAATATGGATGCTTTTCAGAACTGCGTGGGATTGAGGGGAGTGAGTAGATGGTGAGAAGCGATTTAAAATTTTTAGTTGTCTTTTTTAGTTATTTCCTGGAGTTGTTCACTCACTCCCCAGGCCCATTTCCTTCCTAAAAACCTGGGCATTTGTGAGAATTTTTTTTTTGGAGGACACTGAAGTCATTTTGTGTAGGTCAAGGGAAAAACAAAACATAACACCAGCATTAAAACCTGAGGATATCTTAAATTAATCACCAAATTGAAAGAAGACTTTGCTGTCAAGTTGAAGGAGAAAAGAATGGGCCCTATGGTGGATCTGTAGGTTTTGGATTACCTACTTTAATGCTTGCAGATAGGGAATGAGGTTCCATGACGTGTCATGAAAAGTTAATGCATTTCTTTTTCTTGCTCACTCAAGAAGTCACCACAGCAGATGTGACACACCTGGCACCTTTCCTGGGAACTGGTGTTCACTTTCCTTGGGAAGATTTTGTTGGGCTCTCCTTAGTGGCCCTTAAAAACATCCTTCCATGGTTTGCATATATAAATTAATGAATAATTGGAGGAGATTTAATTGGTATTCCTCTTTGGTGTCAGAAGGCTTTGGGGGAGGGGAAAAATTTTTTTAAAGCAGAAATCGGTATTTGTCCTAATTGTTGAGTTTATTTGCTGCTTTGGTCAGCTGCTGCTAAACATTTCCCTTAAAAGGTCCACCCATCAGTTTAGCTGATTGTCATGTGTGTGTCACATGGCTCTTGCAAAATGCATTCTGACTTCAAGTTTTGTAATACTTTGGTTTGTTGCTGAAATGCCCCTTTGTGTACTAAGCAGAAGCCATAGTATTTTATTAAAATTTTATATACCTTAAGAAGTTGAGGATAATGTTCTAATAGTGCTATATTTGCAATGTTGGCGGGTTTTTTTATCAAGGTCTCCAAGGACAAAGTTGGTTTTGCGTACTTGGGCAGAGTTGAACTTGAGGTCCCTAGTTTAGTAGTTTTCTTGGCAACAGTAAAGTACATGGATTTTCCATTATATGGAGGTTTGTCTTCTGTTCAGAGTGTTTCTTCTATTTGCTACATGTATTTAGTACTGTAAATAGATCTTGAAGATTAATTGAGCAGAACCATGACAAATGATTTAGACTGAATTTGTTTTTCCTTTTGTAAAATTGGACGATGGTATTTATTCCTATCAAGGTAGTTTCGAGGCTCAAGTATATGTAAAAGAATTTGGAAAACTGCAGACTACTCTGGGTGGTGTACATCATTATCATGTAAGACATTCTAGTATTGCTGGGATTTAGAAATTTAATCTTTACCCTCAAGGAGCTTATAATGGCATATAAAAAACAGATTGTATATATATTAAATACCAGTAGATATGGCATATTCCAGATATGTGGCGTGGATTGGAGCAGCAAGATTTTAAAGGAAGATGTAGGGTTGTGGTTGGCTAATAGGGTTCAGGAAGATCTTATAGAGAACAAACTAGTAAGGGAATTATTAGCAGTAGATTTGGAGAAGCAGAGGGAGTGAGGAGGATTTTTCAAGGGGGGAAAAGAAAGAAGAATAGTTAATAAATGGCAAGGATGGTAATTCTTAAGTAAATACAGTGCTAAACCACCCTTTCTTTTGAGGACTCTAGATTAAGGATCTCAACAGAATCAAATCCAGAAATCATTTTTATATTTTCATGGCATCGAGTATGCCAGTACCTGGACTACTGTGTTTATAGTCTAGACTGTGTCTAGTAAAATAATCTAGGAATTTGGGAAAATCTTTGGAAAAGCACTAGTAAAAATTACTTAAGTTGAGAGGAGGTGGTATTTTATTAGGGAATGTCACAAGGTCAACCAGCAAGCAGATTTTTAGCAGTCTGACTTCAGCAGTTTCTTTTTTTTTTTTGTCTTTAATAAAATTTGTTACCATCCCAAAAGTAATCAGAGAAAAATTGGAAAGTAGAGAAAAGAAGGAAATTGTTAGAGTTTAATCACTCAAATACAAGTCCATTTGCTTTAAAACCTTGTTCTAAACTTGAAAATCCTGTTTTTTCTTAGTTAAAACTTTTAATAGATGAATACCTTTCATAATTCCACAATGTTGTCCTAAGAGCTAACATTTATGGCCACTTATATGCCAGGGGCAGTATTATACCTTTTAATACATGTGTGTTATAAGCATACACTTTGTATGCTAATGTGAAAAAATAGTGTACTAAATAATGTTTACAGGTGCACCCCAAATGTTCCTTGTTTTGATGTATCATCTATTATTTATCTTACTCCTTTTAGAAACTTCTAAAATCTCCTTTATGTGTGCTGCTGAATTTGGTAATGAAAATGGGTTCTTGACAAAAGAAAAAGTTGGTTTTCAGAATGAATGAAATTTCAGATTTATATAGGTTGACATGCGATTACCTTTTGGTAGATTGACTACTGAATGCTTTTACTTTATGATCTTAAGTTGTAAACTTTTGGTTTAGGAGTGAGGAGAATAAGAAATACATCAATCCATGATTAAATTTTAAGCTGTCTTTTTGACTACTTTCCTTGTGATTTGGAGATTTGGAAGAAATGATGGCCCTAGGTTATCTTTATAGGGTACATGAGGGTAATGACCCACTCATTTGAATTTCAAGTACTACAGACAAAAACATAATGCAACTAAAAGTGGAATCTGAACAGTGGAAAAAGTAGATGGAAAGGATCAGAGCTTTCTTTTTTTTCTGGAGATTTCAAGAAAGATTTTGTTAGGTGGTGAAGCAGGCAGTGATTATTTCAGCACACTAGTTAGGAAATACTTAACATTATTCTCATACCACAAACATTTTTCCTAATCCATTAGCTTCTAGCAGATTTTTTTAGTGTCAAGAAAATCATTTTGGCTGCTTAATTTGTAAGGAATGTGTTGAGAATAAAGTATGTATACCTATCATGAATATACCAGTTAACTACAGAAGGAAGAACTATATGTAGTAGTCTACCTGGATTGACTAGTTTGTTGCAGGAAAATGTTGTAAAAAAAAGTTTATCTTGTTTTTAGCTTTTTAAAATTTCATTGACGACTTAAGATTTAATCAGTCTCTTAAACTTTTTTTTTGCCAGCACTGTGCTTTGAATAAATGTTTTTTTAACTTAAGAGATTGAAAGTAAAAACAAGTTAATCAGTTCTGTTATCTGACAGAATATAACTTATTATATCATTACTACCTTTTACATAATTTTTAGTTAGAATTTTTTTAATTAGGAAAGAAGCAGAAATCAACTAAAAATAGGTTTTCTTTCTTTTTCTTTTTTTTTTTGGCAGTTCTAGAACTTTATTTATAGACAATCAGCAGTTCTCATCTGCATTAACTGTAGATTTATGAAAGTGGTGACAGGTACATAGGTGACCAATGTATAGAGCTTATTTTGTTGAATCTTCATCTTCATTACATTTTCTGGACAATCGCATATGATATGGTATGGGTTGTTCCTAATTCCTTTGGCTCAGACAGCTTTGTTGAGCCTGGTGTCAGTGTGCACATCTGGAGTTCCCATCTCCTTCATGGCATATTTCTGGATTTCTTTGAGTGCCTAAGGCCTGCACTTCTTGAAACCCACTCCATGGATGCACTTGTGAATGTTGATAGTGTATTCTCTGGTCACCACCTCGCTGATGGCAGATGGGCCCTTCTTCACATCACCCTTCTTTTGGGAGCCATCCTGCCTGGCTCGGGTTGTAAAAAGCTAAAAATAGGTTTTCTTTTTGTTGGTTGCCTTGATGACTTTTTGGTGATGTAGTGATTTGAAAGATTTAGAAGAGTTTAAAGAAGTATTCTCATTATCCAGAATATGATTTCTTAATGTCTGTACAGAATCAACATATGTAATTCTTTGGGTAATGTAAGTTACCAGCTATATGGACTTTCCACGAAATACATCTTAAGAGTTTTTTGTGTGAATGGATGATCTTGCAGGATCATTTAAAGAAACTGAAATTTTGCATTTATAATTTTTGTCTTTTTCATCATAATTAGGTTAAAGTATAGGATGTTGACAGTTTCTTACATATTCCAGTTTTTGTTTGTTTGTTTGTCTTAAAGATGAAAGAGCTTCAGAATCAAGTGTTCTCTTGCCAACTCTTTATCTGACTTTTAAAGAGAATTTTGCTTTCTGAGTAATTCTTTGATATTTCAGTCTTTTTATTCTGAAAGTAGTCTTACTGATTTACCTGTGTGCTAGCATCTTGTTAGATTCGTATCATATTAACAGTTCTTTGGCTGTTGTATGTGTGTGTTTTCTGTCCTTGGCAGCTTTTGACTACATATCTGATGGTTATACTATTTACAGTTGTAATAGTTGTCTTCATTTTTGATAGTTGTCTCTTTCCTAATATATAAAAATAGGGTTAAAGTGCTTTTAAGGTTTTGAGGCTCTTAAAGATGAAGAGAAACTGAAAAGGGTGAAGGATACCAGTGCATGAGAC